GATATCCTGCAACCTTCCTCCACATCCAAGATTGCCTTACCTATAAATCCAGCCATTATAGATCCTCCCAAAACAATATGGCAGACACCGGCTACTAGCACACCTACCTGTAAGCGTGCTGACCGGAAATATTTTATTCTTTCCAAAAGGTCTGAGTTCCTTTTTACTCACCCAGTGCCAAACTCATTGGTAGTAGAGGCAGCTAACCAAAAGAACAAACACCAGTTCCCAGGTCTACCCCAACTGATAAAGACAATAAAAGGCTGGACCTGCTTGGTAGTAAAGTGTATGTTTCGTCCACATTACAATTTCAGATATCTAATTATGCGGCCGTTCTGGCAAAATATGATCACAAAAATGACTTTATTGATGACATTCCAGAGGGCAAAAAACCATCAGTCTAAAGCGATAGTCTCTGAGGGACAAATCATCTCCCGTACCGCACTACAAGCTGCGCTTGATGCTGCTAATACAGTCATGATGTGTTGAGCTTCATGGCTTTCATCATCTTCTTTTCCTTGTGAGGTTCAGAATACCATTGAAAATCTCCCTTTTGATGGTGAAAAACTATTTGCCAGTAACACCAACGGTGTGGTTCACTCCACGAAGGACTTGAGGGATGACATTACGGTCTCTCAGTATCCAAACTCCTGCAAATAGGAGGAGACAATATAGATACCAACCTTATCAACATCCACGCTACCCAACGTATACTCAACAATGTCATAGACCATATGAACAACAATGTCGGCTCCATGTCAACCCTCTCCCACTAATAAGCAAATTTGAAGATGTGACCGAGGGAATAGAAAGCATCATCCCTACTTCAGTGCCCATCCCCCCCCACACCCTGTCCCATTTCAGGGACCCCTCTCACAAACAACTGCACCAGCAGGAGGTGCATCTCCTCCTCCAATTAGAAGTAGTAGAACCAGCACCTGACCAACACAGAGGAAAAGGGTTCTACTCCCATTACTTTTTAACACAAAATAAAACTGGGAGATGGCGACCCATTCTTGACCTCAGATGCCTCAATAAATTTGTTTTAAAAAAAATACAAAATGGTGACTCTTGCAACCATAATTCTAGCACTGGAGCAGGAAGATTGGGTTTTCAGCCCTCGACCTGCAGGATGCTTATGTTCCTGTGACCATACATCCTGCCCACAGACGTTCTATTCGCTTTGTTCTGGGCTCACAACACTACCAGTACAGGGTCCTACCTTTCAGCCTCTCGACTGCGCCTCGTGTCTTTTCCAAACTCCTTGCAGTCGTAACAGCTCATCTCAGAAGGCAGGGAATCATAATTTTTACTTACCTTGACAACTGCCTTTTCAAAGCCAGGAGCCTCCAAGAAACCATTCAAACCACAAAATGGACAGTTCAATGTTTCCATGCTCTTGGCCTGTGAATGAACAAAGAATATCCTCACTCACTCCCACCCAACAGCTGGAGTTCATAGGAGCACATTTCGACTCACGCAAAAGAATAGCATCTCTCCCCCTCCACGTTTTTAACACCATCAACCTTTTCATTCCCAAGCTGTGCAACAGTCCACAAGTAGCTGCACGAGCTTGCCTACAACTCCGAGGCCACATGGCCTCTTGCACTTTTGTAGTCAGGAACGCTCACCTCTTCATGAGGTGTTTCCAAAGCTGGATTCCACTGTCTACAGACCGAATATCCATGGTCTGAACAAACTTTTATACATACCTCCCAGTCAAGGACTCCCTCCACTGGTGAACATTGCCTCACAACCTTTCCTCCAGGGTCCCCTTTCTACAGAACATCCCATCGGTTGTCATAACTACAGACCCATCCCGTACGGGATAGGGAGTACACATGCTCCAATATACTACCCAGGGGCTTTCGTCTCCTGCCAAGATGTCCCTTCACATTAACGTCTAGAACTCTGGGCGATACACAATGCCTGCCTCCAGTTTCTCCCCTTCATACAAAACCAACATGTCAGGATAATGACCAACAACATTGCCTGCATGTTCTATGTACACAGGCGGGGGGGGGGGCGATCCCGCTCCCTTTGTACAGAAGCAATGAAACTGGTGTCTCAGACACAATGTCTGAATATCAGCTGCTTACTTACCTGGCTCTCTCAATACCACCGCAACGACTTCAGTAGAAGATTTCCCATAGACCACGAACGGGAACTAAATGAGGATATAGTACTAGACATATTCCACAAATGGGGATACCCAACCACAGACCTTTTCGCAACTGCAGCAAACAAGAAATGCCCAAGATTTCGTTCCAGAGCAGGACTAGGCAAACACTCCTCAGGGGATGCGTTCATGTTCCCATGGATCACTGACCTAATATATGCATTTCCCCAATACCACTCATACACAAATTATTGATAAAAATACAAACAGACCAAGCCAGGCTCATATTGATAGCCCCACATGGCCCAGACAGTCATGGTACCCTTTCCTTACCAAGATGTCGCTTTTCGCACCCTCTGCCCATATCTCTTGTCCCAACAACATGGTCTACTACTCCACCCCAATTTAACCATGTTACTCCTCAAGGTTTAGCTCCTTCATGATTCTCTTATGCCGAGCGAACTTGCTCGGAGCAGGTTCGAAATGTACTCCTTCATAGCACAACAAATTCTACATGCACCACCTGCCTTCATAACTGGACAAGATTTACACACTGATGGGCTGTCACAAAAACCGCTCCTTTTTTCCGCGCCTCTCCTGTAATCCTCGACTATCTGTTAGAGATTAAACTCTCTGGACTCTCCCTGAGTCCCATCAAAGTTCACTTGGCTGCAATTACAATGTTCCATGATGCCTTCAACAATGGGACTATCTTTGCTCACCCCATTACTAAGCGATTCCTTAAGGGACCCCAAACCCTATACCCAGACATCAAACCGCCTAATCCATCTTGGGACCTTCCCTTAGTCTTAACATGCCTAACCCAAAAACCATTTGAACCATTAGCCACATGTTCCCTCCTACATCTCTCTATGAAAACTGCATTTCTGGTAGCAATTGCATCTGCGAGATGCACAGGAGAAATTGCAGCACTCATGGCAGATCCGCCATACACTGTATTTTTTAAGGACAAACTCACCCTACGCTTACTCCCCGAAATTCTATCGAAGGTGCATTCATCTTTCCACATCAATGAGCCTATCCATCTTCCTACCTTCTCCAAAACCACATGCGAATTCCTTTGAATCTACAATACACATTTTGGATGTGCGCAGAGCTTTGTCCTCCTACTTCAACAGGGCTAAAACCTTTAGGCGTTCCAACAAGCTATTCGTCCCCATTGCAGAATGCTCTATGGACTCATCTATCTCTAACCACAGACTTTCCAACTAGATCTCAAGTTGCATTTGTCTCTGTTATCAACTACAGAATGTGACGACTCCTACTTTTATCAGGACTCACTCCACCAGATCCATGGCAGCCTCTGTGGCCTTTCTACATAACTTCCCCCTTAAGGACATTTCCAGAGCTGCCATTTGGGCTTTTGAAAATACGTTTGCAAAACTTTACACTCTTACACAGGGACCCATCACTGATACGCGTGTGGGCAGAGCTGTTCTATCTACTGCATTCCTTCCAGATCCGAAGTCCCTACCTCCTTGAGAGATACTGCTTTTCAGTCACCTACAGTGGAGCACCAAGAGGGACACCTCTCGAAGAAGAAGAGGCGCTTACTCACCTGTGCAGTTACTGACATTCTTTGAGATGAGTGTCCCTGTGGGTGCTCCACTCCCCACCCGCCTCCCTTCTACTTCGGAGCTGGGGCGGCCTCTGTTGTAGAGAAGGAACTGAGGAGCTCGGCCGTGCATGCGCACTATTAAGACAAGACTGGTATGTGAGGCAGGCTCCGTGTATGCACGGCTGATACAGGTACTGCTGTAAAAATCTCTGAACAATGGTGCAGGGGCACACCGACACCTACACTGGAGCACCCACAGAGACACGCATCTCGAAGAACATCAGTTATTGCACAGGTGAGTAACCTCTTCTTATACAATCAAATGGCCTTCCATCTGAGATTTGTCTGTAGTGCATCTCAGTGCAGCATCTAAGCTCTGTCTACCTTCTGATTGGGGCCTCTTCTACCTGTCACTATAGCATTATTATTACTAATGATGTTTATTGCAGTAGTGCCTAAGGACCAATCCAGATCAAGCCCCACTGTGCTAGGTACTGTACAAACACAGAGTAGCAGATTGTCCGTGCCCTGAAGAGCTTCCAATAGATAAGACAGACAAAAGGAAAGAGATGCAACATACAAAAAGAGCAATCAATGTGATGGTGGCAAATATCATTTTAGAGACCTGTTTTGGTTTTTTTTAATTGTATGAAGTTTCTATAGGAAGTGATTAGCTAAATGGAAAGACAAGACAAAGGAATGGAACAGGATCATTGAAGGGATGGGAGGCCAAGGGGAAAGAGCAGGGGAGAAGAGAAAGAAGGAGGGTCTGAAAGTTAGGTGGAGGGAATCTGAAGTGAAGCAGTTGGGTGGATGACTTCCATGACCTCTGTGGCAGACTCGCAGCCTTACTAATAAATACATGATGGTAAGCATCACAAGAAAAGAAGCAGTCTATTTCAAATTCACCAACATTAAAAACAAAAATTAAAAAACCACCACACTTGGAATAATTATATGGATTTCCTTAAGTTGGATTCCTGTGCTTCGTATATAGAAATGCATTTATATTACTGCTGGTGCAACAAAAATATTAAGGGAAATACTGCCTTTCCCTTCTATATTAATTTACATGTTTGCTGTCTCATGTACTCATAACAAGGCTGCTAACATTATGTAAAATTTGTTTATGCTAAAATGCTGAAAAATCCCATGTTCTATGGCTCAGTGAAATTATCATATGGAAACTTACTCTGTTGCATATGGATTTAATGAAGACCAGCACAAGAATAAATTCATGTTTATGTTCATCTTAAAATATATGTATTTACATCATAAGGAATTGCCCATTTTTCTCTCTAGGTGCCAGCTTGCGTGATGACATCAGTAAATACTTCTGGTTTCATCATACTCAAGGGGACACAATGACAGTTCAGGATCCAAACCAGATGAATCTCTGTGCTGCTGTTTGGACTGTCGTCTCCTATGTAATTGCTGACATGGAAGAGATGTTGCCAAGGTAATAAAAAAGCAAGAAAGAAGACTTATATTCTTCAGTCCACTAATGCATGTGGTCCACAGCTGTGGGAAATTCCTTTTCCATCCTGGTTTTTGCTGATTTTTGTTTTTGTTCTCTGACCTCAAAGCATTCCTTTTACATGGTCCTGTTTACTGATTTAATGCCTTCCATTTGTGATTTTATTTCATGTTTCTTCTATTAAGTATTTTTACCCTCTAATCAATGTCTAATGTCTGTCTCCTAAAATTATGGCAGAATAGCTGTCTATAAATAAGTAATCCTGTATAGCAGGAAAATACACTGAATAAATCTGTTGCATCAGAATAGTAGTTTTACTGTGTTTACATATAATGTGTGAAGGATTTTTTTAGTTTAGATATTAATATAACACATTAGCACTAAAAGTGATCTCATGCTTCCATAGCTTTTTAAACTAATACAACGTTCACATTGTGTTGGGGTTATAGGCCAGGCTAACCCTGGATGTTACAATTTGCTTAATGTCTTAAAGGTGCAATGGCTAAAATAGTATAGCTTTAAAAATTTCCAAATCCATTCAAATCATGCTGGTCGCCCTTACTGAGACTTCAAACACAGTGCGTAATGAAATCTTACACGTGGTGAGGGATAATGTTGTTCAATTCACACTTCATCTAGGAAAAGCCAAGTCTTACATCATGGAAGGGAAAGAGAAGGAATAGTGGGAATTCTGTCAGTACCCCTGGCAGGAGGGAGCTTGCTGGCCATTTGGTATTAAGCTTCACAACATGCCTCTGAATGTCCAAGTAACAGCAGTTGCCATGAGTGCTTTCAGTCATTTTTTTTTTTTGAAAGAAGGCTGTATCCTGTTCTTTCTAATGCAGGTTTCACTATACGTATCTGCAGTGCATGTTTATATGGCTACACTCTCCCACCACACACAGTGTTTCATTCAGAGGAGACAGTACAGTTGTGTTCTGTGATCTTCACTGCCTGCCAACTGATATCTGGGTCAGGGACGGCTCAAGCTTTTCTGCCGCCCCAAGCAGAAAAAAAAAAAAAAAAAAGACGATCTGCGGCACTTCGGCAGCAGCTCAATCATGCCGCTTCTTTGGCGGCAATTCGGTGGATGGTCCTCCCTCTCTTCCTCTTTGGTGGCAATTCGGTGGCAGCTCAAAGAGGAAGAGAGGGAATGAGGGGCCCGCCGCCGAATTCCTGCCGAAGCCCCGGACGTGCCGCCCCGATACCAGACAGAGTGCTGCCCCTTTGAATTGGCACAGCTCTAAACATTTCTAGTCCTTGAGCGGTCTCTGTTCCCATGCAGTATCATGGCGGTTGGATTCTAAACAGGAGAGGGCTAGTAGCTGGACATTGGCAGTGAGAATGAGAAGTGAATTTGGGGATTGACTTCCCTCATCCACTATTGGTTTTCTCTTGCCCAGCCCGGGTGGCCTTCCAGAATCACTCTGTTGTGGCATGGGGTTTTTTTTTTTAGAAGAGGAGATGATAGAATTGGGAGAGATTCTAGGGCATGTTTTCCTCTCATGTTCTTTTGGCATATATTAATTATTGTTAAACTTCTAAATTTTGCAGCATGCCTACTGAGTTTATTGATATACAGACCTGGGAAAATGTCTAAAGAAAGCAAAATAAATGTCACATCAGGTACTAAACTTGCCACTAATCATAGGACTGAAAGGGACCTCGAGAAGCCATCTAGTCCAGTCCCCTGCACTCATGGCAGGACTAAGTATTATCTAGACCATCCCTGACAGGGGTGTTTGTCTAACCCGCTCTTAAAAATCTCCAATCATGGAGATTCCAACCTCCCTAGGCAATTTATTCCAGTGCTTAACTACCCTGACAGTTAGGAAGTTTTTCCTACTGTCCAACCTAAATCTCCCTTGCTGCAATTTAAGCCCGTTGATTCTTGTCCTATCCTCAGAGGTTAAGAAAAACAATTTTTCTCCCTCCTCCTTGTAACAACCTTTTATATACTTGAAAACTGTAATCATGTCCCCCTCAGACTTCTCTTTTCCAGACTAAACAAACCCAATTTTTTCAATCTTCCCTCATAGGTCATGTTTTCTAGACCTTTAATCATTTTTGTCACTCTTCTCTGGATTCTCTCCAATTTGTCCACATACTTCCCGAAATGTAGCGCCCAAACTGGACACAATATTCCAGTTGAGGCCTAATCAGCGCGGAGTACAGCATAAGAATTACTTCTCATATCTTGCTTACAACACTCCTGCTAATACAATAATCTGCAATAACTTCCAGTTGCTATTGGCCTGTGATGGATTTGAACTGTTGAGCTATTGGGGAAGATTCTGCTGTCCAAATGATAATTATCTGAGACCTCCATTTCCTTCCAGCTATTGAGATTTACCACAATAGAGCCCTGATTGTGTTCCTATTTTGATTTTTAACTAATATACGCGTTTCACTAATCCTACACGGACACTGTATATAGATATTCTCTCTTCTTTTTTTAAAAGAAATGGTTGACATAAACTTACCACAAAATTTCTACAGCTTTCAAGAGCAATGTAGTGTAAAAGTAGCAGGAATGTTTCTTTGATGAGTGCATGGCTGGTGGTCCTCACTAATGGGAGATTTTTGCTGTCATCAGTATCTAAATTCAAATCTTTGTCCTGTTTTTTAGACCTTACATGAACTTTGGCACCACATCTTTGTCTATCAAAGTCTGTCAAAGTGACTTTGTTCCTCAAAGATCCATAGGTTTCCAACAGGAAGGGTAAACTTGGTGTTACAAGCCTTAACCTCTGCCCCATTTGAGCCATTGATGAAGTATTCTTTTCAATCAAAGCATGTTCGTTAGCTGCCATTATGTCAACTGGCAGTTTCTGAGTTGGGAGCACTCCATAGAATGCCATATTGTATTAGGCCTCCAGACAAAGCTGTTCTGTACATAGCTCCAAGGTACATACCAAAGTGCAATTCCAAATTTTACATAGAGATTATTCTTCCCACCTTTTTCATTAGTCCATCCAAAAGAGAATCTGTAGTACAGCTTAGATGTTAAAAGGTCAGTCCAAATTTACCTGAACACAACTAGACCAATGAGAAAATTCACCATAGTCTTTGTGAAATACCATCTGAGATGCAGAGAGAGCAAAACTTCTATATTTATGATTGCATGTTAGATCACAGCTTGCATGGAAGAGCCTGTAAAACTAAGGAAATTACTTCTTCTGAAGATAATATCACTCTTTCCACCAGTCTCATGGACTGAGAGGAATGGATATTCTTCAGAGGAGATTTGCATGCCAGCTATTTTGACAAACTTCCATGTTTTCCAGTAGACACTATAGAACTGCTAAACCTGCATCTTCAAATGCCTCTATTTCAAAGGTCCTACAGGCAGTGGTAAATAAATAATGAAATGATTTATGTATAGATTTTTCTTTCCATTGGGTCTTTGTAGCTCCCCTTCAATATTTTGCCTTTATTCCTGCTCAAAGTAGGAGTTGTGTTCTTTAGTAGTGATGATGTTTTAGGTGTTAGCTATTAAATTTATACATAGATTGTTCAATTCTCTATTTGGAAGCATTTGCAATCACCTAGCCAGGTGATTCAGAGATATCCGTAACAGGACTGGGGGATCAACCTTGATTTCAACTTGTACACTGCCTTTGATCTCTGAGTGAGGACCACCTGTCATGCTTTCTTCAGAGACAAAAAATTAAGAGGTGGTAAAAAAAAATTCTTTTCATGTACAGGCAACACATAGGAAGTCAGGGCTTCTTGTAAATATTATAATGACATGATAAAATAAATGCACCAGACATAAGTTTCCTTCAGGTCAACAAGAATACCTCCAAAATTGCACTGGGATGCCCTTTCCTATTTTGAATCCAAGAAAGAGTCAAGGTATTTAAATGTAATAAAAATATGTGGAACAGTGTCAGAAAATTTAAATCAACATTTTACTTGAGATGTTACAAACCTCTTTTATCAACTGAGAGAAGGGGACAGATGCAGGCAGGCTTCCTTTCTGTTAGGAGTCAGAGCTTCCAGACATTTCTTTGGGGTGGGCGGGGAGGTAAATTCAGATCCATCATTCATTTGGCTGACTAGACTATCCGCAAATTGAGATGAATGCCTGATGCAAAGTGGGTAATCTTTCCGTTTATAAAAAGAGAGAGTTATAGGCTGAGAAATCACGTTACTGATTTTGTCCTTCATGTGATGGTGGTATTTGAAGTTTATACTGTCTCTTTGAATGATTTAAGTGTATGATCCCTTGGGTTTTTACCTCCCTTACAATAATTAAACAGAGATGAGAAGGACAGTAATTTCCTAGTACTAGAGGTGAAGCTGTGATTCTTATGCATTTACACTACAGACATTTCTGGCTGCATATGTATTTAGTATGCTTCCCTCATAATGATCTGAGACACTGACATTTACCATGAGTAAATATCAAAGTGATCTCGATATCTTTATCTGTCTCATGAAATATACATCCCATCTAAATGTGCCCAAATGATTAATTTACTGCTATTTAATGATTAGCATAAAAATCTCATCACTACACAAGATAGAAATGTTGCTACTAATTGCTGGTTGAAGTGAACGTTGTTTTCTGCATAGAAATTAATGGTGCGTACAGCTCAACTCTCTTGGCTGAATTGGGAAAATTCAAGACTTTCCTGAAGCAGAAGGCACTTGAATTTTTTTCACCTCTCCAGGCTAGAATTGGAAGCATTTCTATGAAAAATGAAGTGACGTCAGAGCTGATGGTAGAGCCGGAAAGAAAGTTTTGTGCACAAAGTGAACCGGCCAATTGTGTCTTCATGCCGTTTTTGTGAAATGCTTTTTATCGTGGCTGGTTTAGCATCCCTGTACTGTAGACAAAAATAAAATACTTTCCACATATATGTCCCAGTCTTCAACTCGCATTACTCCAGAAGTTCAGAGAAATTTCAGTTAAATAGTGTTTGACCAATACTGGGTCTTAGATTTATTATTATAATTATTTAACATTTATCTTA